ATATAAACGACACAATCCATGTGTTGTTTCAATTTTTATATATGTCGTAAACGTTTGAAAATCTAGAACCACTGAATCACTGACTCACTGACCACTCTGCGTCTGTGCCACAGTGCCACTTGACTACCAGAACTAAAAGCTTTGGGATCGGAATTTTTTACTTTTTTGTTTTTGTTTTCTTGTTTTTTAATATAAACAACAAAATATGTATGTACGTTCTTCTTGATGCTTTTTTCTATAAAAAAAACATTTAGTATTTTGGTTTTTTTAACAAAATATACTCCCATACACATTTGGAGTTTCTTTATACCTAATTAGTAACATTTGTGGCTGACTTCTCGAAATCTCAGGAAGAGTACGTGAAGAATGGCGCTAAAAAAATGTTGTTTGTGGTATCCCATCTCATGTCGAGGTTTTTGTATAAAATTGTAATGTCTGCCCGTTACTTTTGTCTTTTTAGTATTGAGTACAGTCATGCCTCTTTATATGTCCAGTTCCCGGGATTGGCAAATATTTGGACATATAAAGAGGTAAGACAAATCTGGGTCAGTTTCATACCATCAGGTTCGGGGTCCAACCTATGGGAGTATGGGTCACACCAGGAGGTATTCTAGGCGCTCTCATTAAATACCCCTTTCGTGACGATCAAGCCGTGACTTACACTAAAACCAGCTTCTCTAAACCTTATTTACCGACCCACTCAATCAAACGCTTCTCGAACTCGTCATGTGTTCCTCTCCTTTCTCGATATTTCTTTTTTGCATGCACCTCATAAGACTGACTAAGTATGTTCTCTCCAGACTCCATGAACCTTCTTGCTGTTTTGATACTGACGCCGAATGATGCATGCGCTACCCGCACGGCCTCCTTAACTAAATCCTTACGATAGCTGTCTTTCCATGATAGATCTAAGCTGTATCCCGATTTCTGGATTGTACGCACGACGACACCTTTAACTTTTTTTATTCGATTGATTCTTTTTGTTGTATTGGAGCTCACATTTGATAATACATGTTTTCTTCTTCTTACCAAAGTGAGCTTATCTATCGTTTTAGGTGCGTTTTGTGTCAATTCGTCTGGCTCTGTCTGTCTGTTATTAGTGAAACCAGGCTTCCCACAAGTCATCCGGTGGCTGGCATTTATCTGTAGACAGGCAGTAACCGATTGAATTTGAGCCATACCCCTCACCAAGATGCACGCCACAAAAGGCATGCATACTTCGATCGCAACCAGCACATTTATATACACCACCCACTGGGTGCTTTGTAGTGCATCCTTTCGCACAACAGCGTTCACCACTAGAAGTGTCTCCCATCAGGATCTATTGTAGTATGTATTATAGTTAAAGCTACCGCCAAGCTAAGGTGAAAGGTGAAATATTCACACTTGTAAAAACTTTTTTTTTAAAAAGATAAATATCCGAATGACCCCTGAGTCTAAGTCTCACCGACCCTCTGACAGTCTGACCGCAGTGACCGGATGACCGGAGCACTATGATGAACAACACAAATTTTAAAAAGAGCAATTAGCTCCTGATTAGCTCAGTTCCAATCAGTGATATTAATAGTCGGACGTCCAAGAGCAGACTGTAGGACCGGTCTAAAAAGACCTGACTCATATATAGGGGGTTGGCCAAAATAGAAATTGGACATATAAAGAGGTAGACACCTTAAAGAGGCGGACATATAAGAGGTATGACTGTATTCACTTCCCATACATAGCCTTGTTCTAAAATAAAAAACCTATACGCTCTACGGACTCGCCCCTCACTTTTCATTCGCTGTAGATAGTCTTGAAATTTAAAAAAACATTCCCTCTGTCTCACTTCTCTCTTGTCTTGTGACTTTGAGCCGGTTTCATGGGCCGTGAGACTTCTTGTGAAGTTGTATGTGGCTGTGTATAACTGTCAAAAATTATAACTGTTTGTTTATATAATATATTTAGACTACACTCTGCTGTGTGCACTGTGCAGTGTGTACTCAGTACTGTGCAGTGCGCAGTGCAGTCGTTACAGTGTGTTGGACACTGTCGGACAGTGTCGGATGTCGTGTGTAACAAATTATACAGTCACAGTGTCAGTGAGACAGTGGCAGTTTCAACCCTCACCGGTGTGACTGTTCACTGTGTTGAATCCAGAATCATGACAGTCGTGAGTCGTACTATTGTGACTCGTTGTTAGTTGTGACTTGTGAGTGTGACCTTCAGTGTACACTGCACACAGGGCACAGTCTCGTGAGTTCGTGTCTTCGTGTGTCTTCTTGTGACTCGTGTCAGTGTGCCGTTATTTACTCCTGAAGTGCTGAGTGCTGACAGCTGAGAGTAAATACTTTTAACTGTTAACTGTTAGTTGCCATGTGGGGCTTTCTTTTTTTTCTTTTTTTGAAAACTATCCAAAAACAAACCAAAACAACCAAAACTGGTATTATTATTTTTTTTTAAACAAGGGATCTGTCTTTGAGATGAAAAAAAATACAAGTTTTTTTTTTAAACTCAGACTCAGAGTCAGACTTTCAGTCGAGGCTCAGAGGCTCAGACACTCAGACGACAGACACTCAGTCACTCAGATACCTTTTCTTTTTTTTAAATAGTATCCTAATGAGTAGGAGTACGTACTCCGTATTATTTTTTACTTCAAAGAGTCTTAAGTGCGAAATACCAAAGCTGTTTTTACTTTTTACAAGGCCCAGGCGGCCAGGCCCCCAGCCTCCGGGGCGGCATGGCCCCAGGAGTTCACTGTTCAGGTCCCAGCCAGGTCCCAAGGCCCAGGAGGCAGGAGTTCAAAATTGCAAGGCCTAATTCCTCTACTACTACATAGAGAGTGTACTCAGTACACTGTACCGTACTATCAATCTATCATACGAGAGAGTAGACCAGTTATGTACACATTTCTAATTTTCTACGGCAGGACGAGTCCAGAACTCATGACTCGGGACAACCGACAAGCGTAAATGACTGGACAGAAAAGATTATTATTTTTTTAAATCAAAACAGGGAACAAGGAATGCCTTTATACGGCACTGGTGACAATACAATTATTAACCATCTCAGGCCCAGTTTCCTACCAGTCTCATACTATTACTTTCTCGAGTTTAATTTGCTTAAATATAGGTGTATTTAAAATGTAATTGGCGTGATTTTAAGCACTTGTGAGATGTGTCGTATTTTCTGCCGGTTTGTTTATCTGTCGGCTGAAAGCGCTCTACTTAAATGTTAGATATTGTACCGCGGATACAACCCATTTGTTGCACTTATGTTAGGTCTGACATATGTTAGCAGTTACACATGTATAAAGGCGTCCTCTGCCTTAGCTATTGCTTCGGATTCGCCCCTGGTTTTACAGTTGATACTATTCGTGTCTAACATACGTCGACCTCTCCTCTGAGGTCGACAAAGAACTAATACAAGTCAATAAATGGGCTAAAATCACGCTAATTACATCTTTAGAGAGCAAAGTAAACAAGTATGAGACTGGTAAAAAACTGGGCCTGAGGTGGTTAATAATTTTATTGTCACCAATGCCGTATAAAGACAATCTTTTTAGTTCACCCTACTCTCAGGACTCTTCAGACTCTCAGAAAATTAGTAAATACAGTACATATGTATGTAATCTTTCAGTATGTATTCAAAAAAATACAATTGTACATATCCTCGGATCTCGGTATTTACATTGTTGTTGTTGTTTTTTTAATTTATACTGTCCTTGACTCCTTCGCGACAACTTCTTGTCAAGACTCAAGTACCAAGTCTGTCAATTCAAACTGTCGAGTCGCGAGTCGCACCTGTCGCGACTGTCAAAGCCGTCGCGGTGCTCACAGCCAGTGTCACCCACTACACACTACATAGTACACAGTCACACTGACAAACTGACTGACTGACATACTGTCGCCTGACGCCTATTTATCAAGTCTCAAGCTTTCTTTAAAAACAAATACAAATCTTTTAAATAAAAAATCAATTTAAAAAGGATAAAATGTGTGTATTTTTTTGTATTTTAAAGTCACACTGCCACAGGGCACCCGGCACAGGCCACAGGACCACATGACCACAGCCCACCGGGCGTAGGACTGGCCTCGAGAGTCAACTGTCTAGACAGACCTGAGACCTGTGGCGGGCCGCAGTCTGTGGGCTACCAAACGGCCTGGCTATATACTTTATGATAGTTTAGGGCCATAGGCCATAGGCCATAGGGGGCCATGAGAGCCACAGGCCTCTGTGACTAAAAAAATATATTTCACGAGCAGTTATTTTAGACTGCGACGGTGAATATTTATTTATTTTTAAATATGGCTGACAGCTACAGGGCTTCGCCTTCAGTCTAATAACACCTGCCCACAAAATTTAAAACCCCCAGTTACTTCATGAGCCCAGGACTCCAGGAGTCCAGACTCTAGGAGTCCAAGGACGGACTTTTGGAATTTCATTATCCATGCCCAGCCGGCAGCCGCCCAGGCCCGAGGGCTCTAACACAAGAAGGGCAAGAAAAGGCCTAAATGATTTTTAAATGGTGTGATGTTTAAATACCACAGGACAAAGATGCTACGTTTTTCTTAAAAAAAAACCCCCCATCTTGAAGACTTGTGAAGGACGCGGAACAAACCAATTCTTTGAAAATTAGAGTAATATACTCTCCTAGAATTATAAATATTTGTTTGTTTGTTTTCAATCACTTGCTCCACCATCATGATGTAGAGTAGACAACGCATCTGTAAAACACTAAAAACTATAAAGCTGCACTAGTTTTGACTTTTGTACACTCCTGATCCTGAGCCCTGAGCCCTGAGCCCTGAGCCCTGAGCCCTGAGCCCTGAGCCCTGAGGCCCCTGACCTGTTTTTTAAAAACAAAAGAGAATAAAAAAAAGCAAAGCAAGAGACCTGGTTTTTTTTTATCAATATGTAAATATGTAAGGCAAACAAATAAGTCGGTAATTTTAAATAATAATATACATACATTGATTAAAAAAAATGCGAGCGAGTTATCTAATTTAGAAGGCTATGTGTGAGTTTGTATAAAACTGTGCTCACCACGACATCATTGTGTTATAACAGTGATAACACTCCACATCGTCCACCCACAACAAGCGAGACAAACGTGTTTTTTAAGACATAGCCTGAATATACCACATTTCCCAACCCACATTTGGCTAAAGAAAAACTTAGTCACTGCTATTTTCACAGGCGAGTTCAATCTACAGGCATATTTGGATAAGCACTAAGCAGTTGCGAAAATATACAATTAGATCGAGGCGTACGTAATTAAAAGTACTGGAGTCATGTCGCTGACACCGAGACAATGCGAGATGATCAAGAGCTCTTGGAAGGAAGCTTCACAAGGCGGGAAGCCTACCGAGTTTAGAGCACTGAGATTTGTTATGGATTTCTACTCGCATCTGTTCGATCTTGCACCCTCTACCAAATCTATGTTCAAAGGGGGTATGGCAAATCAAGGGAAAGCTTTGGTCGGTATGCTCGATATAGTTGTGAATCATATAGACTCTTTGGCTACTATAAAAGGTGATGTGGAACTACTGGGACAGAGACACGCCAAGTATGGTGTTACTTCAAATATGTATGTTACAGCTGGCAGAGCTCTAGTCATGGCCTTAGCTCCGCGTATACCCGACGACGAGGATAAACCTGAATGTGCAAGCGCATGGATGGATGCATACTCTTTCTTGGCTTCGATAATGTGTAATGCGGCTGGAGATAAACTGGCTATGACTTCGATAAGGCGCACTATCAACCCTGCAGACCTTCCCGAGAAGGACTTCAAAGAAATAGTGAAAACAAAGAAAACGCTCAAGGCACATCTCAGGAAGAAGCAAGGATCAGATAGTGTAACATTTCTGGACTCAGATATTTCTCCTGAAGCGAAGAAAAAGAAAAGTAATATGTTCACGAGGATGTTCAAACCATCGTCCAAGGTTAAATAGTTGTTTAGCAATATTCTGTAAGTAGCGCCAATAATTTTCTGTAAATATGCAGTACATATTCAATAAATCTCACTAGGTGCGATTAGCACACTTTACATGTTGGTTTCCTGGTACATAGCAACCCTTCAATGCCTGGTTGACTACTGATATAGATCCTGATTTAAAGAACGAAGGTTGATAAACGATAAGGAAATGAAACATGCCGTTGTGCCAGTATATTAATAACTAATAACGTAGCCAGGGGACCATCTTGAGATCCCAGTATTTGACGCTCGCATGTACTTCGCGGGCATACTGGTAGGTTGTTTTGATATCTTGTGTGTGGTTTTGTATAAGTCGTGATTTTTTATGCATAGTTTTTGCTTTTTATTAAAACAGCGAACAGTATATAAAAATTGTTGAACTGTTGACTCCAGCTGATTGCGGTGACGGTACTAGCTACTATCATGAATTTGATGGCGGGCACTAGACACACGTGGGACTTAATCATTGAAATCTGGATTTGCACTTTGTGTCTCCGTGCTTATAGGGACGGCATAACGATGTCATTGGTGATGACAGTGAGACGCTTTTCAGATAGTCGAGCACCCGAGAAATATATATACTGGTGATGCGTCGGTGCCGATCAATTGTAACGAGATAAACCCGCGCCGTTAAGACCTGACATACTGGTCACTAGCCTGGTCAGAAAAATGAATGATTTACACAATATGGTATAAATAAAGGTCGCTTCATAACCGCGTGTTAAAATCAAACGATGTTGTTGGTGCTTATACATATTCTTCAGGCACATAGTTATAAATACTATACGCTCCTATCTCAATATGCATAGAAGATTTGGTTGTCGAAATAATAAAGTACCGAACTGTGCAGCGCTTTGGTGTCGCTACATAACCACCAAATTATTGCGAGGTAAAATAAATACATTTCTTTGACAAAAATTGCAATATAGATGTACGTATTTCAATATAGATATTTATATGTAAGTAAGTACATTGTAGTATAGTATTCGACAATACATATTGCGAACAGACGTGAATGAACTAGTACTTGTAATGAACCAGAGAGGCAGTGCTCGTTCGCCGCATATAACCAGGTAAGTTGGGAGCAGTGATATTTCATCGAACTTGTAGAACTTCTATGTAGAATAGACTGGCCTTCGCTCTTGACCATGAAACGAATTCAAACAATATATCGAGAGTCGTATGTTTGTGCAAATTTTCACGTGCCAGCGCAAACGTGCAAACGTGCAAAACCATTTATTTTGGTGAAAATGTCATCAATAAATATAAAAACATCAGGATGTATTAATATGTAGATGTATATGTATGTATGTATATATATATATATATATATATGTGTGTGTGTGTGTGTGTGTGTGTGTGTGTGTGTGTGTGTGTGTGGTAGTA